AGCCCCATCTGCAGAATGCAAGTGGCAGAAACCTCTGTCCATGGAACCAGTCCCTGGTGCCCAAAAGATTGGAGGCTGCTGCCCTGTACCATTTTGGACAACTGGCTATCCAATCACTTTTTTTAAAAAACCCAGTGATGGATCATCCACAACTTCTGGAGGGAAGCCATTCCACTGATTAATTGTTCTCACTGTCAGGAAATTTCCCCTTAGTTCTAAGTTGGAACTGTCTTCTGTAAGTTTCCATCCGTTACTTCTTGTCTGCCCTCAGGAACTTTGGAGATTAGGTTGATTCCCCTCCTTTTTGTGGCAGCAAATACTGGAAGATTATCAAGTCATCCTTAGTCCTTCCCTTCGTTAGACTAGACATGCCCAGCTTCAGCAACCATTCATTGTATGTTTTATCCTCCAGTCTCCTAATAATCTTTGTAGCGCTTCTCTGCAATCTTTCTAGAGTCTCAACATCTTTTTTGTAACGTGCTCACCAAAACTGGACACAGTATTCCAAGTGTGGTCTTATCAGTGCAGTATAAGGCAGTACTAAGACTTCATGTGATCTTGATACTATCCTTCTGTTGATGCAACTTGGGACTGCATTGGCTTTTTTGGCAGTTGCAGTACACTGGTGTCTCATATTTAAGTGGCTGTCCAATGAGTGACCAGCCAGGTAGATGATGAATAAGTATAAATGATATTTGAAATAATCATTCTTCTCAATATACAGTCCATATTGGGGAATCTAATTAAGATCAGCCTCAAAAAATATCGAGGTACGCATGATCTGGAAGGAATATCACATAGATGAGTTACGTTACTTGAATACAGATATACCTGGTTTGACCATAAAATAAAGGGGAACAAGTGCATTCAGTACAGTTGGTTAACATATAGGATTTTCTATTTACAGAATTCCTTATATTCTGGTCTCAACAAAGCTAGGCAAAGTTACCTTTTCTGAGAATGCTTCATAGCAGTGTGGATGGGATAACCCAATGCGCCCAAGTTATTGCACTTGGCATGAACCTTAAGAAGAGAGTAGACTGCATCTTCTTTGCCCAACTGGCAGGCCAGGTGCAATGGACTCTGCCCCTCATCATTCAGATGGTCCAAAGCAACAGTTGCTTTCTTGCCTAGGAGCTGAACAATGAAACAAGTTCACTTGTGACTTTCAATTCCTCCTTCAAGATGTGTTCTCCCCAGTTTCCCAGTCAATATTTTATTTTTATTTAAGGAAATGCTTTAGCATTTCTCAGACTCATTTCAAACCTCTTGATATGTATATAAAAGAGAATTTATTTAGATATGGATGTTGCCAATTTTTAAGAAGAGAAATGAATCAACTAATGTGCATTCTTTACAGTAGGATATACTTCTGTGTTTACAGTTCTTGAAACAGTCTGGTGGTATATTCTTCTTAGGTATGTAGAGCATTATTATCCTTTCCATGTTTTATTTTTGCTCATTAATCTATATGTATGTTATAAATCCCTTCATTGAATAATTCAAAATGATACAGATGATTGCTATTCTAAGAACATTTGTAATTATCAAATGGTAGACTGATTTCTCCTTCAAGGTTTATGTTAATACTTCATTTTTCAAATTTCCACTTTAATGCTAAATATTTTTTACTGTGTATTCTATTATCCATCAAAAATAGGGTAGAAGGTCTCTTAAAGTCTTATATGATTATAAAAGTATTATTAGTTCTTCATCTGTAAATAAATTAATTTTGAAAATAATTTTCATTTTCATTTATTCTGCCCTGTGACTTGGAAAGATTTTTTGGTAGTTGCAAATATTGATGGACAACTTTGGTTCAAATATATTTAATACCTGGTTTTAACCACTTTAGCTTCAAATGAACTGTGTTTTTTCAACCATATCAAAGACCTAAATGTTCATGTTATATCCAAAAAGAAAATAATCTGCAAATAATCAAATTCCTATCATCATCCAAACAGTTGCTACTTACTTTTCTTCAGTGTTCAAATTGACACATTATTTCTGCAAAGAGGCCCTCAAAACCATTGTGGGAATTTGGGGGAGAAGGAAATTGATGGACAGAAGGATACGTTAGATACATGAGGGAAGCATTAAACATTTTCTCTAAAGAGTGCATATATGTGCCCATATCTAGAGAATGCATATATAGATAGATGCATGGATGCAAACTTCTGCTTCTCCTGTACTCCTAGGAAGAGTTAAGAGACAAAGAGACTTTATTACAAGTGGGAGACTCCTTAAAGCCTCACCTCTATAATCTTTGGGTTGCTCCCTCGAACAGCATAGTGAAAGACAGTTTCTCCATTTTTGTCTGTCAGGTCAACACGGGCATGGCACTCCTCCATCAGCTCCTTCAGACATTCAAAATCACCTTTTTGGCAGGCTAAGTGAAGTGGGGTGCATTCATTGTCAGAACTGTTGCTATTTATGCAGCTAAAACAAAGATAGAGTAATGCTAGGTATGCAGTCTTATGTACAAGCTGGCCTACCCAACAGATTTTTTTTTTCAAAAGTTGCGGCATTATCTGATTTTTTTCAATTCTGCTGGCTCTTCTATTTATTGTGATTCAGGCCACATTGCAAAATTACTTGTTATACATTTGTAAAGTATTTTGTTTCTACTACAATTTTCAGTAAGTTAGAAAAATCCTTTAAAAATTACAGCCTTTTTATTTAAGAGCTAAAACACAAGAGTCTAGATCTTTGTTGCTGAAATACCTTGAACCACACATAAGTGGAAGACACATTGTTATTTAGCAGTAAGCTTCTGAATAATCTGCAATAGGTCAAAAATTGGAAATTTGCGATTTCTCTCAGCAATTTTTAGATCTTAATTCTATTGTGTTCTATAATAATTCAGATTTGTCTTCTGATAATAGTATAAGGTACTGTTTTAATAAACCAGTATAAAGTATTAGGTTATGGATTCAAACACATAACTAGTTTGCTATGTTTTGTGGGCTAGCTTATTTCATTAAAGAAAAAAAAAAGATCTTTAAAGTCTATCTGAAACAACTGGGTTCACACTTCATGCTAAACTACTCTTTATTAAAAGCACAGCCAACTGGTTCATACAATAGACTGAGCCAAAGAAAAACAAGGGACCTACTAGGTCAAGTCAATAGTCCATCCAGTCCAGCATTCTCTGTCACATGCTGCCTAAGCATATTCATTCACTAAGTTAAGAGACATGCGCAGGAGGAGGTTGGAAGCCTTTTCCACCATTGCTTCTTAGCAGTTGGCACTGAAGGTAACCACGCTGTCCATGGTTATGAAGATAGTAAACAGCCATCAAACCTACTACTGTAATCACCGAAAGCCCATTCTTGCCTGTCCCCTCCCTTGTTAAAACCACCTGAATTGGTGGCCATCAGTACAACTCGTAGCAGCAAATTCCATATTTTAATTATAATTATTAAGTCAATTCATAATACTTTTGATTAAGCTTGAATCTCCATATATTTAACTTAATGAATGAGCCTGAGTTTTAAGGTTAAAAGGGAGGGAGAAAAATATTTCTTTCTCCAAGCATAGTTTTATAGAATTCTGTGAGGACTCTGCTGACCTATCTTTGCTTAAGGAGGAAAAAAAATTCAAACTCTGTGGCTTTTTCTTGGAGAGGAGCTACTCTAACTACTTATATTTTAGGGTTTTGTTTTGTTTTTTTGCAGATTTATATATTGGCTGTTTTATTTTCAGTTCCCTTACCAATGATTCCAACATGAATATCTTTTGTTTTCCCAGTACAGGTAGTCACTAAACATACAGGTACGTTTAGTGACTGTTCAAAGTTACAATGGCCCTGAAAAAAGTGACTTATGACACTTTTTCATACTTACATCCCCTGCAGCATCTCCATGGTTACACGATCAAAATTCAGACATTAGCAACTGATTCATATTTATGATGGTTGCAATGTTCTGGGCTCATGGGATCCCCTTTTGCAACCTTCTAACAAGCCAAGTCAATGCGGAAGCCAGATTTACTTAACAGCCATGTTACTAACTTAACAACTTCAGCAATTCACTTAACAATTGTGGCAAGAAAGGTCATAAAATGGGACAAAATTCACCAATGCCTCACTTAGCAACAGAAATGTTGGGCTCAATTGTGGTTATAAGTTGAGGACTACCTGTAGTTGTGTGCTCATTGACATTATCACCATGTTATAAACCAAGATCTCTCCTGATCTCTCCAGCTCAGATTTGATTACGCCACAGGTGATGCTTGGTGGGGTTGTGCCCATGTCAATCAATGAGGTACAAAAGATCCATTCCACATCATACCTTAGAATGAGATTGTGTCGGAAGCTTCCCAAAAGTCCAGACTCTACAGCTATGTGTGCTATTGACCAGCTGGGGTGGCTTCGCAAACAGTCCGTCAGCTGTTGCACAGTTTCCAGAGGCAAAGGATCACGATAGCTCTCATAGAAGGGACGCAACTGCTTTGCGTACAGATCAAAATATTCACGTGCACTTGGTTCACTGTCAACTTGAAAAAGCCTACAAAGGAAATGGTTTTAGAACTTTTATAACATTTTATAACCTTTCTATGGTTTTAATAAACTGGAAGTCAATGCATCTGCTACAAAACAAGAAGAAAATCACCCCAAATCTTGAAATTTGAGAGAACAGAAATCGGGGCACCTCACAATCTTTTTCATATAGACTTTATTACAAAGAGATGATTATAAGCATAAAGAATACAGGGAAGCTGAACAATCATTCACAAATATAAAGAGAAAATTACATGCCAACAGAAGTTTAAATGTTTTCTTTTTTTATTCTTTCACAACATATAGCCCTACTAAAGGATAGAAAAAAAAGTTTTCTATATACATAATCCCAAAGTTATTGGGCTGCAAATTTATGTAATACCTCACTAAGAAACTAGTAGTGTGAAGCACATATTAATTTCTTTGTAAGTTTGCAAAGAACAAACCACCTTTTATCAAACAGGTAAGAACAAATCCAGTTCTTTTTGTTTCTGCGCCAGCTGCAGACAAAGCCAATTCCCTCACTCACTTACAGCAACCAGAAACAGGAAGCAAGCATATTTCTGTTCCTTTACATGCCTTCCAAGCCATCATTCACATCATTGTTCAGAGGACTTGAGAACTTCCATACTTCTCAGGTAAAATATTTTTTAAAAAAAATAAAAAACTGTTACTTACCGTAAGGCAGAACTTTGATTCTGAGGATTAATAAGCAGACAGTCCCAGGATCGAGCTGAACTGTTTTCATACAGGATTATCCTATCGTCTTGTTTAACCATGTTCCGAGAAGTATATTCTGTCAGAGATACCTCCTTTACTCGGTAAGGGTTTGTGAACAAGTTGGTGACATTGTTCAGAGTATGGACAAGTCGTCCAAAGAACTGCATGCCTCAAAAATATATCCTAAACAATCTTGTTTCAATACTCTGGTAACAAAGAAAAAAATCTTTACTCCTACAATATCATGGACATTCACTAACTCTGATCTAGTATAACCATTTCCTTATTCTCTCTCCATCAGTTACTGCAGTGTGTAATGATGGGAAATGGATCAACCTTACTTGTCTGGAGCCCACTACTTATGTTCACTGGATTGGGGAGCCAGCCTGGTTTAGTGGTTAAGTCACCAGGCTAGAAGCCAGGAAACTGTGAGTTCTAATCCTACCATAGGCAAGAAAGCCAGCTGAGTGACTTTGGGCCAGTCACTCTCTCTTAGCCCAACTCAACTCACAGGGTTGTTGTTGTGGGGAAAATAGGAGAAAAAGGAGTACTGTGTGTGTTCATCACCTTGAGTTATTTACAAAAAGTAAACAGATAAAATAAATAGGCAAACAAACAAGCAGACTCTGGTTAGAAATATCTACTATGAAATCCATCTAATGTTGAAGCAACTAAATAGCCAAAACAAGAGGACCAGAAATCAATAGGCTGAAAAATGGTCTTTTATCACTAGTCTTCTTAAATGAACACGATACTTTGGCTTGTATCTCTATTTCCACATTACAAGTCTACACTGAATAGAATTTACTTGAAAAGAAAACTTTACTTAATACCTATGCATGTGTTACAGATTTAAGAGTTTGGTTCCAAAGGCAAACTCCTATTAAGACAGGGTTAATAGATTGATTTTAAAATGGAAAATATTGAATACAATGTAAGTAATCCGTAATTCAAACTACATTGGATAGATTTAATATTTTCCAGTTACAAGTGATTTATTGCACTGGCTAGTTGCGATGAAAACATCAGTACTGAGATTTGAGGGCTGTTTTAGCTTTGGAGGATTTAGTTCATAGAAAACATGTCTGTTCTACTTGCATTATACACTACAGAATCATTCTGCCATTCAACTGGTGAAGGTCTTCCTTTCTCACTTCCATGCAGGCAGCTTTCCACAAAATTAACTCTCCAGTGCAATGATTTTTATCAGTGCATTTTGTGGCATGGCACAGTTCTTCATTAAGGAAAGGTAGAAAGTATACGGTAGATTCTACTATTTAAGAGACATAATTTGAGTCCTTTCTTAAAATAAATTTTGAACCAAAAACATTCTACAGATTATATTCTATCTGAAATAATGTCAGATAGATTAGGTTGCAGTAGTTTCTATTTGTATAATTATGTTCTACTTCTATTAATTTTCATAAATATTTTTGTAAGAAAAAATGGCAAATAATGTTGATTTATATATAATTACATTTCCTTGGCATGCAAAAATTGGGAAGCCATATACAATCTCTAGTATATTTGAACAAATTCAGCACTGTATATTTATTTGCAATGTACAACATAACATATTCTATGCTGGACTTGTATGCTTTTTTAATGATTCTATGTCAAGGATTCATACTACAGATTTGCTTTGAGTATACAAATCAATGACAAAAACAAATGTGCCTATTTTTTATTCAGACTTCTTTATTTTTATGGCTTTACTTTCACAAGACCAAGAAAAAATATAGCAGTCTTCTATTCACTCTATAAAAATATACATGGGAAAAGGAGAAGTGAAATCTAATTCAACAATATTTAAAAAAACAGCAGTCTTTGAAAGCTAGGAATTTTTAGAGTAGCATTTGTTGTTTCTTTATTAATCAATCTTGCATCTTTCTAGGGGAAGATTATTATTGCATCACAATGGAACAAGAGAAAGCATTTAAGGAACATTATGATAAAGCATTTTTGACATCACAAATATTTCCATTTGTCTTTATTTCCATGTTTTTGAATTATATCCATGCTTTTATTATGGTAACTCAGAAAATTGCTCTTCATGTTAAAAGGATTACCATGGAACAAACAGAAAACTTTCCACATCAGGATAGCTATATTTCCTTACTATTGAATTTAGTGGTACTCTGTACCATTATGCAAAATCTTTTTTTTTTTTCAAATTAAGGCTAAAGCTCTTTCAGAACCAGTTGCTTTTCAAAAAGAAAGTTCTTATAAATTTCCTCAAGATGATATAAATTATCTAACTCTTGTTTAATGTAGCAAATGCACACGTTCCTAAATTTTGAAAAGTGGTATTATCAGTGTAAAAATTTAATTATTCTGTCAGGTGCTTTTTACAATACTTTTTGCCTTTTAAACAAAGGAACGGGAAATACTAAGCTTTGTTTTCCTCTAATTAAGTGACCTGTGCTTAACGTTGAAATGATTGAAGTCACTTAAAAGCTCTTGAAAGAATGTGTTGTTTATTCAAAAAACAATTAAACTCATGTACCTCACCAAGCCAACCAAATAAACTAATTTCTAGCTAACCACAATATAATGCAATCGTTGCAGTTTTATGTAGGAACCATCCTTTTTCTTGGCATGATTCCTTTTCCTTTAAGATTTTGCAGGAGATAAAAAATTTGCACTTCAAAAGCTTTCGTTGTGGTTAAACTGGAAGTCCCCATCTCCAGAGTGGCTGCCGATTGTAACATAACAAAGAAGCAACCCTGTAGGAAATTAAGGATTATATCGAAGTATTATAATTCTCCAACCCCAGAATCAAATAACGGATTGGAGGTATATCGGAATCTATAGAGGCATCTTTAGATAATCTGCAATAGATTAACACAATTTTCTTTTTCTTAACAGCAAAAGGCCTTCTCTGGAGGATTTTAAAAAGGAAAGTTGGAAGGAAAACCATGAATAATATGCGAAAACTCGTCTGAGTTCCTACTTTGCGCTGCAGGGTTCAGAGATACTCACCTCCCACTTAGCTATTATTCACCCAGCTATTTCCGCCAACAAAGTCCCAGTTGCTTCACGTGATCGCACCTCTACCAATCACGAACTGCCGCCTCATTGTTGACTCACAGGATCTTCTTAAGAGGGCGACGTGATTACGCGCGAACGACCATTACGCTTCGACATAGAAGGAGGCAGATCAACCATCTTTCTGCCGGGCGGATGTTAGTTTAATACTGTAGAACCGAAGCCGCCATGTTTGTAAAGGTGGGGGGTGGGGTTAGGGCGTAGAGTACTGCTTCCATCTTATCGGGTGTTCGTGTTTGTTGAGTCGACAGCAAATAATAAGCGCATTCAGGACTAGAAGCATGGGAGAAAATGTATACAGAGGATCACAATGGGAGGATGCAAAATAAAGACTCAGAATGAAAGACGGGATATAGATAAAAAAAAATAAGTTTTCTGATTTGGTGCGAACGTTGCAAAGCCTAAATTCCACTGAATGCAATACCTGCTAGCACTTCTAAGGGGAGACTGACACACAGGCTAAAATTGATTTCGGTTTAAAGGCATTGTAGGCTCTTTTATGTGTAGTACAGATAGTCCTCGACTTACAAGTTTATTTAGTGACCTTTCAAAGTTACAACGCACTGAAAAAAGTGACATGATGATTTTTCACACTTAAGACTTGCAGCATCCTCACGAACAACTGTGGCAAGAAAGGTCATAAAATGGCTATAATGTTTTACTCAGCAACAAAAAAATTGGGTTGTAAGTCAAGGATAACCTGTAAAAAAATAACTGACAAAAAACGCTTCTAAATGCTGCAGAGCAAAATATATGGATAGAAGTTGAGCCAAATCCAAGGGTTTGTTCAGTTTTGATAAATGGATACCCTCCTGAAAATAATTTATCCACAGTCAAATGAAGTATCAGTTACTAATGGCCATATACTGTTGAGTATGGTGTGCTCAAAAGGAGGCTTTTGAATTTATAATCTTTTATTAAGTTTTCTGAAAGCATCTTGTGTTGCTGGTAGGGAAGAAAATGGTTGTCTTGATTAAATTTTAGTCTAATCAATTGGGGGACTTTTAATCACACTATTGCTGAACTATTACAGCCATACTTCAGAAATATTGCAGATTTTGTTTCAGACTCCTACAATAAAGTCAATATCATAATAAAGTCATGCTATCTTTTTATTTTCCAGTGCATATAAAGGTGATATCTATATTATTGAGTCTATAAAGTGTTCACTATAAAAAAGATGTAGATTTCGTAATTTAAAATATTGCTAATAAATGGTAATCATCAGCTGAGCCTTCAGTGAGTTATAATCTTTTTGCTGTTGGAAGGTCTTGTAAAAAAAATCTGCAAAGTGCATTAAAATGAAGTGTAGTAAAACATTTGTAAATTAACTTTTAGTAGATTTCTTTTTCAAAAACCTGATCTGAAGAGCACCTGAGTTTATACTTCTAATTGTCTTGATGTGATAAAGATTGGAAAATTAAAAATAAGTGTACAGTATTTTGCCTTCTCTGCATCATGAAACTGGTATATTGGAGGATAAACAAAGTATCTTTAAACTATCTCATTACATTAACTCATGAATAGCTGCACTTGCAATTGAATATTGCAAAAAAAAAAACCTAATGAAAGTCTGTGATTGATATTGGTAAGAACCTCACATTTATTAAGGGTACGATTATCAAATGTGCCTATATATTTCTAAAATCAAAGGTTATATTTTAGAACACATTAATGCACGATAATGAAGTCATAGTTCGTTGAACTGATTAGTTTGGTTGAGGTCTCTTGATAAAATATCCAATCACCTTTCAGAGTAGAATGTTTTGTAAACCCAGTTCCAATTGTTAAGATTGTTGAACAAGAATCTAATTCCCACAGGAATTGGTTGTCTACTGTAGTAGGTAAACCATTGTCACCAATTTAGCAGAGATGTCATTATATCCTTATCACTGTAATTATCAATGATTGTGTTTAAATTCTACAATTTTGAATACTTTGTTACAAAAACATTAATCCAGCAACATTGTTAAAGATTTAGCTTGGGTTCACTCAGTATAGTATGATACAACTTAATTTGTGTTGTGTTATGCACCCAAACATTGTGATATAATGTATGTGTATATATAAATATTACATGATGTCTCGATGTAGCTTTACATTTGTGTTTTAACAAACTGTGTTTAAAAATCATGCAGTATATATTTAATATTTTATTCAATTTAGTACCAATGGGCACCATTTAGGTACCCTTAGTTTGTTCTGTTAATCAGTGTGATAAAAGGTGTGATAAAAATAAGTGTGATAAAACATGAATTTCCTACACACGGATGATTCTGTATTGCATAAGTATATATGGTATGGTGATTCTTACTCATTTTAGTGACTATTGTTAGTCATGAAAATTACAGCATCTCCAGCTTTTAATACATTACAGCTAAAGAGTTGTAACCTCGCCTTCATCCTTTTAAAAAGTCAGAGTTTCCTTGCACATATTCCTATCTTTAACTTTATGTTGCTGTTATGTAAGGATGAAGCTGAGCATTTGAAAAACAAAACAAAGTTGTTTGGTTTGGTATGAAGAAATAGAACCTGTTGGTTGAGTTTAAATAGCAACATTTTCTTAGCCATGTCTAGAGGTGAGTCAGGTCTGGGTGCAAATTTGGAATGTTAGATGTTTACCTACACAATATTCCTGTTCTTGCTTTGTGACATTGAATGTTGTTTCTGAGGCTATGAAAGACAACGGACCTTTTAAAGGAAATTGTAAAGCATTGCATGATGGGCATGCTAGCTACAGATATACTGTACTCCAACACTAGAAAAGATAAACTCAAACAGATCTATCCAAGTGCCAAGCCTTGAGCTATTCAAACATTTTTAGAGGAAGCAATATAAGCCCTGTAGAAGTAAATTGCAGTGCTTTGGAAAACAGCCCATTCATTCTGAAAACATGTGATTGTTGAAACAGTTTCCCATAACCTGCTTTAAAAGATGAAGTTCCAACACTGCAATCTGATATATTTTGGAATTTAGTAGTAATACAAATCTAATCTATCTATATGCTACCAGAATTCTCATCATGACGTTTAACTGGGTGAAATGGAGCACCAGAAGGCAACTGTTGAAATAAGATTATCTAAAATGGATTAATTTACAGAAAGTGTCTAAATTCTGGGATCCATGATTCCTGAGAGAATGAAATTTGGGGAAATTGTGGCTTCTTCAATGCTACTGGCTGCTGTTGCAGTCAGGTCATCTTTGTTTTCAGGGTTCTATAACAGTTTTCCAGCAAGTCTTCCAATCCCTTGCACTTTCCTCCATCTCCAGCAGACCCTTAGCTGCCTGCTAGAAAGGGAAGATTTCTGATGCTCCCTGCAGAATTCCCATGAAGAAACTCAGTGGGGAAGCTGGCAGGAAATCACACCTGCTCCCACTTCTTTTTTTGCCTATCCTTGGTCATCCCATGCCTCTGTTTAGGAAATTCTGTATCTCTTAAATGGTGACCCAGTAGGGTAGTTGTCATACCAATATTAATTGATTATAATTATTTGGTTATATTATATAATTATATTATTCAATTATAATTAATTGATTATAAGTAAAGGTACTCCATTTTATACTGTAGAAATATTTGTTCTGAAGCAAGACATTTGAAGCTATACTTATTGTTTTGAGATAAACATTGGTCCAGTCTTTTGCTGCTGTAGACTTCGTTACATTACTTTGGGATTTTATTTTCTCTAGGGTGCTGGATACAGTTTGGTGTAATGATTTTGGCCTTTAAAACCATTAGCATTTTGGCCCTACCATGTCCTTGTCATCTTTCAGCTATCATGAAGCTATGAACTACAGACATGACTTCTTCATTTTTAAGTAGTAACTTCTTGTTAGAATACTCAGATACCTTACTTCACCAAAAGACTTTGATGTGCCTCAGAAGAATCTCTCCATCTTCTAGGACTGCTGAACTCAAATCTCGTTCAAAGAAAATCAGGTGAAGAGCAAGGACTTTTCATTGTATTGAACAGATGATACAACAACAGCCCCTGGACATACACAAATTAACTGATACAACATTCACCTCATTACAGCTTTCTCTGTTGTAGTCAGACATACTACAGTATATTACTATTGAAATAGTAATTGTATATATTATTTTTATTTGGTTACTTATTAGATTAATTTGTTATTAAATGTAACTTCTGAGCTTTTGTGAACATTAGAGGTGACATTTTAAATGTATGTATAGATTATATTATACATTCCACCTTTCTTCCTTGAGCTCTCAAAGCACTTCAGCCCCTGTGAATGCACCTGAAATCTGTTTTTATTTTCTACTCACAACCACTGTGCAAGTACTTGAACTGAGGGATGAACTTAGTAAGTTTTCATGACTGAGAGTGAAAAGTGGAATTTCCCAGCCCTAGTCCAATGCTGTTGCACACTGCATCATGCTCACGTGCATTTTTAATTAAAAATCTGTATTAGAATTTTATTATGCATTCCTCCCCCACCCGATCCCCGTTCCGTTTTTTTGTTTTGCTGATGCTCACATGGCCACTTTAACTGTGAATAGTTAGATCAGCAAAAAGTATATAACAAATTGTTCTTGAAAATTAAAGGACAATCGCCTCTATTAATTCATGGAAGTGTGAACAGAATTCAGGGAAGCCAGTAAAACTTCTTTTCCAAATGGGCATGCTATGCAAATTGCATTGTGCAGATGTGACCTTAATCTAAAAAGTTTTTCATCTGCATTGTGTGCATTCTTTCACTATCATTATTGTAATTTCAACTCCACAGGATGTTTGACAAGGTAGTCTTAAGCATATTTATACAGTCTAAAATCTATTTTCTTTTAGTAATTTTGAATTCATCTATACATATCCATTCAAATGGCTGTATCTTTTTAACAAGAATTAAAAATGTTTCAAATAATTGTAGAGATTCTGTTTCAGGCCTCAGTATTAATGTGGTGAATGAATGCTGTAGTTTCTACGTCCAATGAATTTCAGAATTCACATAACATTCTCATCTTACTCTTCAGCTTTTTCTAGTTTACTTTCAAGCACATTAGGTTTCATATATCTGGTATTGTTTTTTTCAGTTCACACCAGTCAGACACAGCAAATTACCCCCGGCCACCCAGAGATCTGGAAATTGATTTTCTTGCTTTCTCAGAACAGTGATAGTGCCTCTAGCAAATGCTAATTGAATACAGGGAGTCCTTAACCAAGATCACAATTGGAATCAGAATTTTCACTGTTAAACAAGACAGTTGTTAAGTGAATCAAGCCTGATTTTATTATCTTTTTTGCCACAATTGTTAAACGAATAACTGCATATGTTAAGTGAATCACATGGTCATTATGTGAATCCAACTTCCTTCATTGACTTTGCTTGTTGGAAGCTGGCCGGGAAGGTCACAAATGGTGATCATGTGACCGCAGGGCACTGCAACTATTCTAAATTCATGCCTGTTGCCAAACACTCAAGTTTTGATCATGTGATTGTGGGGAATCCTGCAATGGTCCTAAGTGCAAGAACTGATCATAAATTCCTTTTTCCCCCCAGTGCCATTGTAACTTCAAACAGTCATTAAACAAATGGTTGTAAGTCAAGGACTACCTGTATAATGAAAGCAAATATAACAGATCTTCACTGAGTCTTATATATAGGTAGTCCTTGACTTCATTCAGCAACCATTCAGTGTTACAACAACACTAAATGAAGGGACTTACAACTTGCCCAATGTTACAATGGTACAGCCCACTTGCACTTACAACCACAGGGGTGTTTCAACACTCCCATCTGCCTATCCTGCCTCACAGGGGCATTTCAATTCTTCCACCTGCCTTTTGGGGGCCCTGCACTCTGCCACCATTGTTGCCCTCACTCAACTTCACTGCTTTCTTCCTTCTGGACCAGAATCCAGGAGCTGGGTGACAGCCCAATCCTGGGATGCATATAGTGAGTATATTAGCATACCAGTCTCTGATCTGGAGCTTGCCAGGCCTGGCCAGGAAAAGGTTCCAGGATGGTGAGGTGTGGTACTCTCAATCGCTGGATGAGGCCAGGGAGCCAATGCTGGCTTCCCAGGCAAATGTGGAGACTGTGTGGGAGATGCTGTTTGGGGTGGCAGCAGAGATGTCTGGGATGACGCAGCCTTCCCGGAGGCACAGTGTGCACTCTGCAGTTTGTGTTCGAAGTGTACCTGCAAAGCCTCACAAACTGTTCCTGAGGCTTTGCAGGAAGCCCTTTCAGGGGTGAGGCTGTGCACTACACTGCGGTTCTAGAGCTGCTTTTTGCTTCCCCCCCTCCCCCACACACCCTTTGGAGGACATGGCAAGCAACGCTAGAACTGTGCAGTTCTTGGACTGCTTGCCTTCCTGCAAGGCAGCCAAAAGGACAGAAATACAGATCAGGCGGGGTGGGCAAGATGGGCAGGTTGGAGGAGTGGGAGGTAGTTCTTTAGTGAAGCTTGGGGTGGCTTTTTTTTGCCCAGTAATGGTTTTGGAAGATTTAACATTAAAAATGATGAAGGCAGATGCATGAGCCTACATTGTGTATGTGACTTGAACCAGAAAGTTCCAGTATGCATCAGTCTTCTGAAGCAGGAGTCTCCAACCATGGCGACTTTAAGCCTGGCGGACTTCAACTCCCAGAATTCCCCAAAGCTTTGCTGGCTGGGGAATTCTGGGAGTTGAAGTCCACCAGGCTTAAAGTCGCCACAGTTGGAGATCCCTATCCGGAAGGGTTTTTGTATGCTATGTGGCAGGTTCCTTGCTCTGCAGTGGGATGTAGGGCAAATGATTATGTAGGGCAAAATATTCGCCATGGGCGAATAGGCGGCAATATAAATTCAATAAATAAATAAATTAGTGATCATGTAAATTGACACCTCTCGATATAAACAAAATGTATATAGTTTTTGGTAGTAGCCTAGGTTAGCATTTTTATCTACTCATTTTTCAGTGTTTTCTTTTTGCACAGAAATAGTATCTATTTGTATCAAAGCATTTGATTCTGAAGGCTAGCGACCAACTGCAAAGCATTTGGTATGGTCCCTTTAAAAATAAATGCCCAGTACCAAGATGGCAGCTTCCTTTCACCATTCTTCAGTCTGTGCCCTTTACCAAGATGGGGAGGGAGGGGAAAGAATGATGTCATTGTATGACTGTGTTTTTATGAATGAAAAGAATCCTGTGAGTGAGTAATTGCAGGAAACTCATATTACAACTCAGCAGATCGCAGCGCAGCGCCCAGCTCAGCCCTTCGCTTCGGAAAACAACAACTTCATTTGGGGAAATAAACAAGGCGATTTGAAAGCTTAATTGTCAAGAAAACGCGGCCCCTCCGATTGCATAAAGAGGAAAACGGCAAACAAAAGGACGAGTTGGTAGGCAGTAAGTAGAATGTTTCGTTTATAATCTAGTTTACAGGCGTCAGGAACGGATGGCGGCTTGCACTCTGCCAAAGTGAGGCTTTTAACGTCGGGCGCAGAGAGGTGAAAGCGATGGAGAAAACCGTAGCAGTGTGGTTCATTGTGGATTGTTTCCGTGTGGTGAGGAGGGACTGTCTGGGGTTGATTTTCTACAGAGCTAGACAGTAATAGCTGTTTCTCGGGAGATGTTTCAATTTAGCTCAGGTTCAGCGTGTAGCTCTGTCTTAAAGAAAGAATCTGTAGAAGACATCCGGATTTGGAGCAAAGCCGTTTTTTTTTTTTTTTTTTAAAGAAGTTGTGTTGCTTTGCCTTCGTTTCACAATTGCGAGGCAGTTATAAGAGACAGGAAATCGCTTAATAAATAGAAGGTGCTCGTTACATTATTAGCCCTGTGTTTGCACGTGCTGAGGCCTCGGTCACATGTAAGAAGCCGTTTGCCACCAATGCGAGTTCCGATGTGCGGGTGGGGTGTGGATTCCATTGGAAAATCATGTGGATCGGTATAAATCCGCCCTTTCCTTTCCCTTCCTATCCCGCCAATAATAGGCGAGTTTTACAATGGTTCGGTTTTAACGACGGTGTGGTGGCTTTGGAGGGATATTCAGGTGGATTCGGGAGTTCCCGGCGAAATAGGCTGAACCTCCAGAATGGTGCTGAATGCCTGATGACGCAGGGAAAGTGAAGAGCAAACGAAGGGTGACTTGGGAGTTTGGGGAACCAACCGTGTACATATCCTGCATCAGCATTTAAAAACCTAAACAAATCAAAACAAAACTTGGCCTGAACTTGTGGGATCGCTTTCATGCATAGGGGTCCTAATTAATCCCGCACCCCCGTCCTGTTAAGCTCCTTAAAGATCATGAAGGCTGTTGTTGTTGTTGTTGTTGTTGTTGTTTTTATGCACATCTAGAAGGATGTCTTCAATTTTAATTTGGGGTTGTTTCCTCTTTGGTGCGCCTCATTTAGATGCACAATCCTACTTTGTTTTCAATTTTGGATTAAAAGGATCTCCGGATTGTTTTGGGTTTAATTCTTTCAACAGTGTTGTTGTTTTTTAAAGTCACCAGTATAAATGACAAAGTTGATCAAGGGGGGAAAAAGCAGAAGTAGAACAGCCATCTTTTGGTAGGGTGCTTTTAAAGCAAAATCAAAAAGTACTGTAAAGTGCTAAAAGCAACCAGAATAGGAGCAGGTGGATTTCACCTGGAGAGAGTGAAACACAGGTATGGAAATGCTGCAGAGAAGAGCTTGGGTTACCCAAGGCTGGTATTGCTAACCTAAGAGACACTCAGTCAAGATTGGCATCAACAGGTATTGTTATTTCAGTCTATAGTTATTAATTCACAAAAGAGCATGCATTTTGGATAAAGTGTTTCATATTCTTTTTTTATATAAAGATGGCCAGTCTCTTTTCCCTGAATCTTTGTAGCCTCTTAATACACCTTTTTAATCCAGTGTTCCCCAAAATACATTTGGCTATAATCCTCTCGTTCTCAGTCAATGTAGTCACAAATATATCTCAAGATCTGCAGAATAGAGAAGAAACTTTTTTTCTTGAAAGGATACCTGTCTCTGCTACATGTTGATTGGAAGTTCACTGAGGACAAGTTCCTAGAGTTGCATCTTATATTTTGTGATACTCATGCTGCTGTAACCACAATTAAGTGATTATTAAGCTATTGAATTCTTTGGATATTTTGTTTAATAACTCTGCTTCTGTGCTTTACAAAAGTTCTGGTATGCCAGTTCTCTTGAAAGCATTATATTTAAACTGTGGGACAGGTGGTTTGTAGTTAACCATTAAAGAGAAAGGAGAGAATTATAAATTGCAGATGGTAAAACAAAGAAAACCAAGGCAAAATGTATCTCATAAATGTTTATTTAGGAAAAGGATTTAATCTGATCTCAAAGTTGCCTTCACTTGTGAGTAAAACAACTTTATAAGCCTTGTATTATTGAGTTTTTGTTATGTGCAATTCAGCAGCAATAAGGATTCCTTTCCATCTAAACACCAGAATTACAACTTCAATTATTCTGTCTAGTTTAAATTAATGTAGCCTAAGAATCAAAAGGGAACTACTGTAATAAGGTAGTTCTGCATTAATTCAGCTTGCTCCAATTTATAGACTCAACAATTTCTAGCCCATGTATTTGTAAGCTTTCTTTTCTGTAAAAGTGCATAGAAATTTTTTGAAAGAATTTTCATTTTTTCTAACTTTTAAGGATTCTAAAATGTGTGTCTGCATAGTATCACATTTTTGAAAATATAGGTTCCTCAAGATATATGTACTGTTAGATTTCATGGTTCCCGTAATGACACACACATTCCTTTTATAAACTACAACTAATATTTGTTTATAGATTCTAAGGAACATGTACTGGTGATGTGCTTCATCCTTTAATTATTGCTCTGATTAAGCCTATATTTAGTAACACCTTGTGTGTCTATCTTTTTTTGAAGATGCATTAACTCTCCCCAGGTTGGCGCCTACCAGATGTATACAATCGTATCTTTCATAATTCCCAGGTAACTTGGCTTTTATAACCATAAACAGTCTGCATTTAGGCTTACAACTGAATAGATATCTATAGGATTCTACCTGGAAGACTTGATCAAGAAAAGCAATAGTTAAAAGTGCAAATTTCTGACTCTCCTTATCTATATAAGTAACCATCTAGTATTTAACAACTTGCTTGGTTGCCAGAGTCAACTTGCAGCTCTGTGCAGGTAAGTAAGCAGAGAGGTGGGAGATTCTCCTTTTGGTAACTAGCAAGGAGCAGTCATTTTCCTGAAAAAAAACCTTTTAACCAAGGTTATTAACTTACTAACAGGTATGTAGTTTCCATTTCCACGTTCAATTCAGAGAAGGCAGCTTCTCCTTTTTTGAAACCTGACTGGTAACGTAGGTTGCTTTTTTTAGCAGGCAAGTTAAAAATATACCAACCTGCAACTTTTGTTAGCTTGTTTACAAGGCTGTTATCTTTGTGACACAACACTGGGGATGAGAATGTTGTAGATTCTGAATTTACAGGTACATTAGTGAAGATTTCTAGTAACAAAATTAAATCCATTCTTCCTATCCAAATTATATGACAGGCACCAGTGAAGGAAGTTTGAGGATAATTAAGAGTTATTGCAGAGAAGATCTTTGAGCTTTGCTTGTACCTGATATAATTGCCAGGAATGGGGATATCTTAATTTACATGCAAGTCTCTTACACCAGATTGCGTTCAGTAGACTTTGGGATTATAGCAAAACTGAGAAGTTCCTATAATTGAAGGTTACTTTGTTTTATTTAGAATGAACTGGAAGGGTTTTTTTTTCCCCACCAGAGAATCTGTGGAAAGAGTTTGAGAGCTTAAATGAATTAAAGCTACCTGTGATGAGGTGTTTCATATGATCATTTCTGTCTAGGGTTGGATATTCAGACACCTTTTCAATTCTCATCCTTTGCATCTTAACCCTTCTGGTGAGAAATTTTGAAAATTAGTCTAATACTGGACTACAGTGATTAGAGAAGACTCTTACATAAACCTGTGAAACTCCTTTTATTGAAAGAGTGGACAAATCATGCTAAGATGTGGTTCATTTGACTGCATCTTACAAAATAAAATGTAACTGGCTGGGGTGAGAGTATACTATGTTGTAACTATGATTTATAACAGTAGTGGCTGAGTTTACACAATATATTAAGCCAGTTCTAGAAATGAGGCTTCCTTGTTATGCCTATAGATTCTAAAAAGTCTTCATCCTGAATCCCTTTACTATAATTAGAATTTGCAACAATCTCAAAGATGCCATTCTGGTTAAAGATCCCAAAAATGTGGTTAAAGATCCCAGATGTTTATGATTTGATTGTCACATGAAATCTGAAACATCTGTTGAAGAGGTGAACAGGGGGAGGATTGTAAAAAAATGCCACTGTGAATATGGTTACTAGTTAGAGTTTTTTGCTGAACATTTCATGGGAATTATATCAAATCCTAGGTTTGGGTTTCTTGATAATTTTTGCATAGCTGCAACTCTTGAAGTTTTCTTTTACAATGAGAAAGCTTCTAATCAAAGTCATCTGGGATTAAATTTCTTGGTATATAATGCCTGTTATGGTGAGGAAACAGTTGTGCCCGAAGTATATTTTAAGGGTCTTTAAAATGACCACCAGTTACTTGTTTGCATGACTACAAATCTCTAGAATGAAGAACATACTGTATATATAATGTATAACATATTGACAGGATCACTTTACATTTTGCTTTATCATAATTTGATCAAGAAAGGGAAGAGATGGGTGGGGAGAGAACAATCAAAGTGTGCTGAAAATATTTTACAGATAAGGTGCATATTCTATATGTCATTTTTATTGACCACTCATTTGCACAGTACTGTGCTGGATCACAAGTAAAATAATAAAACATATTTTTTAATAAAGAAAGAATATCTAAAAGAAAATCCACATTGGTGCTGAAAATATACACCATATATGGACAATTGAATGCAAATAGGTTTTCCTGGGCTTTATGTTGGAAATTGCTCCACATGGATGCTTTATTGAAATAATAAGTCAGTGTATGGATGCTAAATACACAGTGTATGGATGCTAAATATGCCTGGATTTAGGCATATTTCCTCAGGAATAAATCCCTTTGATCTTGGTGGAAGAAAATTTCTGAGTTAAATTTGCAAGTGTGCATTTAAGAATATTCATTTCATTACAATCAGAATTTTACCAAGACAAATTTGTGTATTAAAATTTATAGGTATTTTTTTTCCTCCTCTAAACAATTCTGTGCCAAGCCTGAAATTCCTGGAGGGCATTTTATCAGGGAATATGCTATTGTCAATCATGACTGTTGATTTTTTTTTCCTTTCAGTTTATCAGTGTTTTCCTTTCAGTTTACCAGTGTTTATCAGTCAATAGCTACAGTATGTTAGCTCAATTCCCATACTTTCAAGCTATATGTGTATCAATAGCAGAATAGAAGCAACAACTACCAGACTCTATACTCAAGGATTTGATATCTGTGTAAAATTCAGTTCTGAAAATGGAATAATTGTTCCTTTGCTCATTTTTGTCATACCTAAGAATTGTTGAACTATAAGAGCTATGAATTTGGAAACTGTTGAATAGATGGGTTGAGCCAGAACATGAAAAGTTGTACATGCATCTTTGTTTTGAAAATAGTGAACCTGCTTGGAGATAGGTTCATTATTTTCAAAACAAAGATGTGTTTGTTTCCTTGCTGTTTCCATGTTGTCTTGGATATTTGATACCATATATGAGAAGTCCATTGAATACAGATGTGTATGCACATCCAAATGCACATCTTGGCATCAGAAAAGTTAGCGTACCATTTTGGGGAAAAGCTGTTAGTTTTGCAATAGTTTTGTACACTAGCAAAACAATCAACTTCTTAGATGCTGGATGCCAAATCCATAAAAACTGCATACACTATGCAAACAGCTGCTATATATTGACAGAGTTACAATAAATTTTGCTAGCAAATAAATTATCCAAATATTGATCTTCTTATACTTGTGAAACAAGTGGGAGTGTCTTTGCATTACTCTCATCCTCTGAAAATTGAACAGGCAAATTGCAAAAGTCTTTTAACATGCTAGAACACTCCAGGAGGAACTGTGTCAGACTCAGGGAATCGTATTTAGAATGGGAATACTATTTTTATTTGCAGTTTTGCTTATAGGTGTTATACGGTATATCATGACAGAGGCAAAAGTTCTTAGCATTTGATTCTTAAGCAATGGGTTGTGAGAGGTCCACTATTTCCCTTATCTAGCAAACATGTTCCATTTGCTTTGTGGAATGTGGTTACACAAGTAACATGGAGACTTATTGGACATTCCCTCTGATGCAATTAGTGATGTCTGGGACAAGTTGCTACCCTCCTCCTCATATAATAGTTTGCAGCACTCTGTGAACTTCCTTTTAAAATATATTGAAAAGGGTCACAGAAGGGTAAGAATGTGTGTGTACCAAAAGAAGAATTAGTTTTGCCCTTTATTATATTTGAACTACCCATTTTGAAAGAATTTGGTACATTATTTAATTTTATAAATATACAGAAATGTACCCGGCATCTCCATTCTGCCCTGATTCTGCACAGAAATTTCAAACAACATTCTAGAAATATATTTGGGGAATATATAT